TATTATGCATATTACTCACACTTGTTATATTATTCCAACACTCCCCCTCAAGTGTGAGTCCACAATGCTCCCCCCTCATGTGGAAACTCTTTTGTCCACATATATTTGTACCGCCGTTGACACCTATTACTAGGCACCTCTTATTAGGTATTTCGAATACACCTGTTCCTTGGGCATTTCGATTTGTCCACATATATTTGTAACGCCGTTGACACCTATTACTATGCACCTCTTATTAGATATTTCAAATACATCTCTTCCTTGGGCATTTCGATTTCAACGGAACACCACTTCTTAGGCATTTCGATACATGTAAGTCGGTCCATTTACGAATCAAAGGCTCATGATACCATGTTAGAGGAGTTTTGCACTAGAGAGCATTGAATATTAGGCCAAGAGTAACACAAGTAAGAGACACACCACATTATTCACCTAAAACTTTAAGGTGATAGGTGTATGGGTTCTCCCACTTATAAATGATCAAGTCACCACATTCTTATTCAATGTGAGACTATTATTTATACTATTCACACTTGTTATATTATTTCAACGCAGTTAATATAATTCATAGATAAATTTATTTGCAAGAATTGAATGGAAAAATATTTGAAGTTCTTACAAAAAGTTTGCAAGAATTTGATTAATAAGTTCACAAGTTTTCAAGAACATTAATTTGCAAGTATTTTTTTATTCAAAAAACTTTCTTCAAAATTTACTAATTTTTATTTTTTTATTTTTTTATTTTTTTTTATCAAGAACATTTGTTTATTTGTTTATTGCTATATAGATCGAATCAAAAATAAATTAAATGAAAGGGAAATTACAATTAATATTACAATAATGCAAAGAAGTCAACAAAAGCATGCTTAAAGTCAATCATGTCAACCTAATTGACATATGACATATCAACTAATCTTTAGGAACTATCATGAGCATAATTTAGTATTAAAGGAGTATATAATATATATTCCTTCTCAAGGTTTGTAAGTATTTATTTAATAAATCTATCCTCGTAACTTTCATTACCTTATCCTCTAATAAGAAAATGATAAAAAGAGTCAATAAATTTCATGGGTTGCATAAATGCACCTAACTATTTTATTTTTATTCTCAATCCAGCTTGTTTGTATATTTATGTAATGATACAATCAATCTACGGTTTTAAAAACCACTCACGTCTGCTAGACTATTGTATGTTTGGATGATAAAAGAAAGTAAAGAAAAATGAATATTAAAGAATGAAGACATGAAGTGAGTAGACAATGAATGAAAAGTAAATTAACTTTTTTTGTTTTTCAGTATGAATGAAACCGAGAAAAAAATTAAAAGAAATAAATATGTGTTTTTAATAGATAACATAAATATCTATATATTAAAATGAGACACCAAAATTAAGCCTTGCTTCCTATATGATAAATTTTGAGGATTTCTAATGCATCACATAGGATTCTTACACACCATACAAATATATAAATGTCTTTTGATTTTGAAGATGTATTTTTGAACATATTAAAAAGATAGTTAATGTTAAAATATTTCAGAGATGCATCTCTGAAATATTTTGAAAGTTAAATTGCAGTAGACTCGTCTCCTTTTTCATTTCTCATTTTCCTTAAAACCATTTTTTAAGTTTTCTCAAAATTTTCTCTGCACCAACTCAAAAACTCAATCATCAAGGCTTAACAAAACTTTAATCATCAAAAACCACATTAGTAACATTAATTTATTGTAAGTTTTTTTTAATAAGTTTTTCAGTTTTTGTAAATGAGTAGAAATAGCATTTAAGATAGTTTAGATATAATGTATTAGATGTTCGTTAGCTAGAAAAGATGATCAAGACAAGTTTTTTTGAGATTACATGGGATACATTAACACCATTGACGCAGCTTCTGAGTTGCCGAAAATTTCGGAGATGAATCTTTGAAATTTCTCAACGTTTTAGTTTCCCAGCTTTCAGAGATGCATCTCCGGAATTTTTTGCAATATTTTTTTTTGCTTGTGTGTTGTTTTATTACACTAATGGTATGCCTTAATTTAACTTACAAGCATAATGGTTGATAGACAGGACATATTGAGGCACGAGAGGGTTGCTTAGCACGCATCAGTGCGGCGGGAGAAGAGGCATTAGGTTCCGAAGGCTCCTGGTCCCTTTGGTTAAGCAGAGCCATCTACTTCTGGGGCTCGTGCTTCTCCTCATGACATTCCATCTTCTTCTTCTCGTAGGAGACGAGATTCACCATCTGATCTATCACTTCATCCGTCTTCCCACAAGCGTCAGATTTCACCAATGCCACATTCTAGTGTAGATGTTATTGATCCAGTCCTATTTCGTACTGCTGATGTTATTGATCCAGTGCCACCTCCGGAGGGTGAGACTACTGCAGATGTTGAGCCAGCGACATTTGGAGGAGGCCCATTTGACTTATGGTTACTACCTATGTATCTAGACCAAACTTCCAAACACATATAGGATAGAGAGTTAGCATTATTTGGATTCATTATTTTTTATGTTAATTTTAATTAACAAATTTTTGACATTGATTTTTTTTAGGAGCGTGGTCCGCAGAAGTTTCTTAACCACGGTAGGAAGATTGTTGTTTTGCCTCAGCCGAATGAGGATTCGTTTTAGTCAGTTTTATCCTTATCTGGCATGAAGAACTTGTGCATGAACGTTTATACTACGGCTAACCACATGATACTTAATGTATTCATGGAGAGATGACACTTGGAAACCTCGTTGTTTTATCTCCTGCATGGTGATCTATCTATCACACTCGCAGATGTCTCGTGTTTATTACATCTTCCGATCAGGGGGAGATTCCTAGATCATGTGAGGGTGACAAAAGAAGAGGCACTCAAGATGATGATAGAGTATCTGGAAGCTTATCCAGGGGAGGCGGTGGAGGAGTTGGATAAGACCAGGGGTACTCATGCTAGATTTGAATTCTTGAAGAAGGTATTTGAGGCTGAGATCCTGAGTGCACAGCAGGCTAATGGTGATGATGACCAGGTGGAGCTCCATAGATCGTATGCATTAAGAGCATACCTACTTTATGTGGTTGGCATTGTGATTTTTGTGGACAAGAGTTCCAATTATACAGACATCATCTACCTATGATACTTCACGTATTTCGAGCAGATTCGTGAGTACAACTTGGGGGCAGCTTGTATGGTCTACCTCTACTCGAAGTTAAGAGATGGGTGTATATGGAAGACGAAGCAAGTCGCAGGCAGCGTGACACTACTAACGGTAATGATTATTGGTCTTTGAATGTTTTTTGTCATTTTCATTTCATCTTTGCAAAGCCATTACTGATGATTTTTGTGTTCCAAACTTTTCATTTTAGGCTTGGATCCTCCAGCACTTCCTGCGCATCTCTGGCTGGGTGAATGTACATGATTACATTGAGGATATCTCACGTGTTATTGCTTTTATCTCGCTCAGAGGGAACCATGCAATCGAGTCTTAGGTAGTTTATCTTAACTGTTTGGTTGGTAAGGACATGCACTTCAACAGCTATGTTGATCACCGTGAGACGCGGCCATTTGACGAGATAGTCTTATACTCTGGATGGTTGTCCTATGGATCATTGTTCCTCATCTGCCTGAGCGTGTCATGCGGCAGTTTGGCTGCACTCTGACCATTCCTAGACACCCTGTTGTCTCTGCTCCTCCTGCCTTAACACGTAGACAGATAGAGGACATGTTTGATGATTATAAGAGTTATTTGGTACCAGAGGAGGCACATGCTACCATAGCTGAGAGCGCGTGGAGCTACATCGAAGGGTACATCTGATGGCTCTTCAGAGTGTCACATCTGTACATGGTGCATGTTGCTTTAGGAGATCCACTGAGACCAGCTCATTAGGAGATATTAGAGGAGGAGTAGGCATAGCTAGACCATGTTAAGGATGTCTTTCCTAGGAGTTGTTGCATAGTGGAGACTGCACGTGCAGAAATTGACAGGTATCTTTCCTGATGGATCTAATGTGAGGCAGGTCATATATGCCATCATGACGGAGGCACGTGGGGCTTTGTTGTACCGGAGAAAGTGTCAGAGGAAAAAGGAATTGATGGACGAGGAGGTAGATGAGGCAGAGGAAGTAAATGAGAGGTAGTCAGACATACACAATAGTGTCTTAATATATAGTAGTAGTACTATTGTTTTTATTTTATTGACGGTCTTGCTACTCTATTGATCTCAATAGTATGTCATTTTCGATATTTTTTGGTATTTTATTTATGTATGGCATTTCTGGACCATCTGGAATTATGTACATAGACTTTTTTATTTTTGATTGTATTGTATAGTTTAAATCTTCACCTGAATACATATAAACAAAATATAATATGAAAGACCAAGTACGGATACGTTACATAGATGTATCTCTGAAATATTCACAGAGATGCATCTTCGATCCAATTCAAATGTATAATGGCTTCTGAGTGAGATGTATTAAATGTTTTAAATTGTTAAGGAGATGCATCACCAGAATATTTCAATGTTCATTCAAAATTTGGTGTGTCTGGAGATACATCTCCTGAAACTAATGGCATTTAAATATTTTTGTGTGGTGGTTAAGAAGTATTAAGGATGCATTAAAAAACCCTTTAAATTTTCATTCTCGTATGTTTTCCATCCATTCATTTTCATTAGAATCAAACATATAAAAATGAAAAGGAAAATAAAATGAATGTGGAAAGCTTTTACAAACACAAATGTGGAAGTAATAAAATACAAAATGTAAAAGTATAAGTGCATCTTTAATGGTGTAATCCATCTTTAAGTTTTTTTATTAGAATCTGTTAAAACACATAATCTTAAAAGTATTTATCTAACTTTTAACTCTAATAATACAACTATGAAGAATTCATATTATAACCTTGATTACTTTTATTATTATTTTTTGAATCAAGGGAATAAGTATATTAATTCAAAACGGCGATAAGTACAGAGTTAGGTGATCCAAGGGGATCCAACCGACAAAAAGGACTCAAGATTACATCATAAAACTAACAAGATGTTTTTTAATCCTACAGTTGTTCCACCCTCGGTAGATCACATGATCTATGAAGTTAGTAATTGTGGTTGTAATATCTACAGTGTTTCCAAAAGTTTTTCCATTCCTATATCCCCAGATGTTGTAGATGGTTTCAGCTACCAACATCTTCAAAACTTCGACTTTCCACCCCTTTCCCTTTGTGTTATTACTGATCCAAACCAGTTTTGCATCCCATGGTTGAGGATCATGAGAAATGTTAAACCAGTTAAGCACTTCCTTCCAAATGTGCTTTGTCTCTTGACAAGAGAAAAAAAGGTGATTCAGCGTTTCATCCTCAGCCTGGCATAGTTTACAGTTGTTGTCCTCAATCATCCCAAACCGTTTCAGCCTCTCCTTGGTCGCGAGCTTCCCATGACAAGCTTTCCATAAGCAAAAAACTGCACGCGGTCGGGCCTTGTTGAACTTTATCAAATTACCCCAAAGGACCCGTGTGCCATCATCAATCAGCACCTTATAGATAACCGAAGCTTTAAACTTTTGTGTAATTATAATTTGCTCCCATTCATTCCGGATAAACTCCATGTTATCACGTTGTTTCAGGATACCGCAAACAATCCAAGAATTGTAAGCTTTGATTTCGTAATTCATCACACTGTTTTCCTTCAGGTAATGAGTATGGATCCATTTAACCCATAAATTATCAGTTTTGTTGCACAGATTCCAGAGGCATTTCAGGAGCAGCACATTGTTCCATACCTGAAGATTCAGTAGATTCAAACCATCCTGAGCAGTCAGGCAGCAGGTGCAATTCCAAGCCACAGGGTATTTTCTGCTAATTGTATTCTTACCGGTCCAGATGAAGCTACGGCAGATAGATTCAATTTTCCTGATCACAACTTTAGGCAGAGGGAGGCATTGCATCCAGTATTGGACCATTGCAGCAGTTACGCTTTTCACTAGCTGAATTCTACCCGTGTAACTGAGGAGTCTAGAGGACCAATGATGGATTCGAGCCACAATTTTATCCACCAAAGGCATAAAATGGTTGATGTTTAGTTTCCTGCTAGATAAAGGGATCCCTAGATATTTGAACGGAAGTGTTCCTTCATGGAAACCTGACAGTTCTGTCAAAGTCTTTCGCCTTTCACTATCCAAACCCCCAAAATAGATCTTTCACTTGCTTGGATTCAATATCATACCTGTGGAATTGGATAACTTTTTGAAAGTATTTAGCATCATTTGCAGAGATATTTCACCACCTCTACAAAACAGCAGCACATCATCTGCGAAAGTGAGATTTGTGATTTGCAGCTTCTCGCATTTGGCGTGGTAGTTGAAATTTGGATCTTTTTGCATTTTCATCAAGAGCTTGTTCATGTATTCCATCATGAGGAAAAAGAGCATAGGGGATAAGGGACCACCCTGTCGAATTCCTCTTTTAGCCTGCAAACTATCAGTGTACTTGCCCATTATGTTAAATCTGTAGGACACTGTGGTAATGCCTAACATAGTCCATTGAATGAATTTGTTAGGGAATCCCAATTCTTTCATGATACATTTCAAATCAGTCCAATTCACCATATCGTAGGATTTCTGAAGATCTATTTGCAGCATGATCCTAGGTGTACCCCCTTTCCTGTTGTATCCCTTAAGAAGTTCAGTTGCCAGCATGATGTGATTCTGAATGTTTTGGCCTGGCACAAAAGCTGCTTGATTGTGGCTTACCACACTGTGAAGAACATCTCCTATTCTATCTATCAAGATTTTGGAGATGATTTTATAAAAGGTGGTACACATAGTTATAGGTCTGTAGTCTTTTATTTCACAAGCAGTGTGGTCTTTTGGAATCAGGGAAACTACAGCACTATTGAAAGGTTTGTAAATTCTGCCTGTTTCAAAATACTCCTGAACTGCTGCAATCACATCAGTTTTAACAGTTTCCCAACCAACTTTGAAAAATTTGGCTCCATAGCCATCCATTCCTGGAGCTTTTAGGTCTCCTATTCCTTTGAGGGCTTTAGTGAGTCAGCTTCAGAAATGGGTCTGGTGAGGTGTTCCCTTTGTTCCATGTTAAGTTGCTTTCCCATCCTCATGGCTTCAATATCAATGTAGTTCATGCAATCTACATCCTTTCCCATCAGGTTTTTGTAGAAGTTAATCACTTCCTCTTCAATATCTGGTTTGGCTGTTAACTGTCTGCCATCATTTGTTCTTAGATTGGTAAGGCAGTTGGTATGTTGTCTACCTTTGATAGCTGCATAAAAGTAATGATTGTTACCATCTCCTTTTCTAATCCAATCAATTTTTGCCCTTTGCTGTAGGATTTTCCATTCTAACTCGTTCATGGAAATCACTTCCTCAGTCAGCTTCTTAGCCTCTTCAACCAAAGTGTTATTCAATCTGTCCCCAATCAGTTTTCCTTGTGTTTCTTTTAGATTTGCTCTAGCTGCTATCAGCTTCCTTTTAATATCAGACAGTGGTTTGCTGAACTGCTTTAACTCATGTTGTAGTCTCTTGAGTTTGTGCCAAAGAACATACATTGGGTTGCCCCTGATATGAGCATCCCAACTCTTCTTTATCACAGTATCATAGCTTGGCAGATCAATGAGGCAGTTGCTAAATTTGAAGTGTTTGGATGATTTCCTTTGTTCCTGTTTTTCCTCCAAATAAAGCATGGCATGGTCAGAAATGTTAGGTGGGAGAATTTTCAGCATAGTCTCCATATTGTTGAGAAACCAATCAGTATTACCTAGGACTCTGTCAATCCTAGAGTAGATGGGTCCAGCAGCTTGTTTATTGGACCATGTGAAATGATCCCCAATGATGTCCATTTCACTCAAACATATATTCCACGTCATTTTAATCAGGTCTTCGTATTCCTTTTCAGTCACTAGATTACCTCCCAATCTATCCTGGGCTTTGGTTACATTATTGTAGTCTCCCACTACACACCAGGGACCTTGAATGTTAATAGATAGGTGTTCTATCTCCTTCCAAAGGATTCTTCTCTTGTTGAGTTGGTTATGAGCATATACAGCAGTTAACTAGTACTTGAATCCTCCATAATTATCATAGACACCACAGTGTATAAATTGGCTGCTACTTTGAATGAATCTCACCTCCACCCTGTTGCAATCCCAGTGGATCCAAATTCTACCATTTGTATGGTTTTGTAGTTATCAATGTGCTTGTCGTATATCATCAGTTTCTCACGAACGGCCTTGGCTTTAACTTCTTTAACTCTAGTTTCAATTGGTATGATAATAGTAGGCTTTAGCTCTTGGAGATGGGACCTAATCTCACGAATTTTACCTACTTTATTGAGTCCCCTTATGTTCCACGAGACTAACATGGTTCAAGGTTTATTACCCCTTGATGGTCATTCATAACCTCAAGAGCTTCAAACCCATTGTTACAGTTGATGTTTCTATTATTATCAAGCACTATGCTCTTACCTTTATCTCGTACAACTTTTGTCACTCTTGTCCATGTTTCATCTGCTTGCCCTGTTGCTTCCTCTTTTTCTGGTTGTTTTGAGGGTGTGGTGTTCTTGGATGTTTCTGGTGGCTTGGGTTTTGGTTTCCATTGTTGAGTCTTCTGTCGGTCTTCACATTTGTGCCCCATTTTTTTACATGTTTCACAGAAAGTTGGTCTCCATTCGTACTTCACAAGTTGCATTATAACATCTCCCTCAACATTTCTGATGGCTATTTCATCAATCAATTGTTGTGTAATATCCACTTCAATCAGTAGCCTTGCATATGATACACAGAGCTTGTTTGTTGTACATTCATCAGTCACCAAGGGTTTTCCAATGGCACTTTCAATCTTGCTCAGACTTTTTGCCCCCATAGGTGCAGGGGAAGTTGGGGAAGTTGGGGAAGTTTCACCCATATTGGTAGAGTTCTTAGCAGGTCCCTCTTTAGATTGAACCCAGGATGTCATTCCTTCAGTATCATTGGTATGTGTCGAATCGTGTAAGGGCCTTTCATCATCACGGTTTCCTTGTCTTTCTGGGAGTTGAATCTGAGCAGGAAATAACTGTCATCGTGATAATAAAGATCTGGTATTTTCACGAAGTTCCATGTTCTCTGCATAAAGTTCTTCAGCGTGTTCATACTCAAATCATCTCCTACAACATAAAGAATTAGGGCATTATCCCAAAACCGTATTTCCGTTTCGATGTCTTATTGTTCAATATCAATTTCAATCATCCCGTTGACTACTTTTGGTGCAACATATTCCATTGTCAGTCCCTTGGCAGGGTTCCGGTTGTCGTTTATAATATCCACCCATAGTTTCTGATATTCCGGTTGAGCTTTTGTCGCTTCTACTGGGATTTGTTTGATTGTATTCCCGAGTGTGGCTTCTATCTCTTTATCAGTTTTTGCTCCAGTCTCAGGTGTCTTCGAGCTAGAGTCCGGTGGTGTTGTAGTTCTTGAACCAATCTGAGGGGTCTTCAAGCTGGTAAGCGATTCCGGTGGTGGTGACGGTGGCACCGTGATTTTTGGCCGCCCTCGTCCTTTCTTCATCGTCCTTTTAATGTTTGTTACCAGTATTTCAGATATCAATAGTTTTTCATAGTGGACACTTCATTCTAAACTATGCTTTCCAGATTGAAAAACTATGAAAGAAGTTCCATAGAAGTTACTCTAAAGGATGATTTTGACATCTAGATTTAGTATTCCAAATTGAGGTATAAACCTTGGGAAAACCACATTTTAACTTTTATTTAAAATATCATTTATTCTCTTAGTTGATATACATAATTAAGAGAAAAAATAACTAAGTGACATTCATTGAATCCCAATAATTACAGTTTATATTTTTATTTCTTTTATAATGGCACCATTATTTTACTTTATTTTTTATTTAAATATTAAGTTAATTACTCCTTCGGTTAGACATCTAAACGAGGGGAAAGACTACCCAACTTTGTCTATAAAAACATTCATTTCATTTATATTTTCCCTAACCTAATCTATTTGTTGTCTCTCTAAACTCGTAAACATCATTCTCTAAGATGAATTGTAAGACAGAAAAATATTTTAAGATTTCTTAATTAGCTCGAAAATCTTTCAAGGTTGTGTTGTTGTTGTTGTAGTTATTTTTATTGTTGTTGTTACATTCATGCATTGAAGAGATTAATTTTACCATGCTCTTGCAATGTATCTCACAAAATGATGTTGCTATTATCGATTCCACCTCTTGCAACCCATTTTTATATTTGGAAATAATTTGTCAATGTCGTCATCCCTGGAAAAAATACAATGATTTAATTTTTTCCTTGGCTGACAAGATTGATAAACCTATTCTTAATCATACTGAGAAGATATTGCAACCCAAAAATAAAATGGTGGGTGGTAAGAAGTTGTAAGTGATATTTCTTACAGTTCGTCGTTTGCTTTTTGGATTTGAAATAGAATTAATATATTCCCTTGGGTGGGATGACAATCGAGGGGAAAATTCCTTATTTTGTTTTATTTTTTATTTTAAAAAAGAAATAACCTATTACTTCGGTGTTCATAAATATCCGAGGGGGAAAAGTAACTTAGTTTTGTCTATATACGAATCTTTGTCGACCATTCATAAAGTATCAATGCTCAAGACGTTATGTACACATCAATCCACAAGAAACATCAATGATCTATTAGACAAGTGACTTCAAGCACAAGCGGGATGAACTGTGGTATTCAAAATTCATGATTAATTTAACCTTTCTCGATTAAGATTATAAAATTTAGCTGAGTAATCACAACGAAAATAAAATGTTTAAATTAAATTGAAGAAAATATAGAGGTAGGGCTAGAAGGACTACACCATATATTTATATAGGTTTGATCAAACATTGCCCTAGTCCAATCCCAAGGGGTCTTCTTGAGAGCTTCACTATAGATTAAGAGCTTTTAAAGGTTATGCCCATGAACCTTAATATAATTTAATCTTGATATTTTAATAGGATTATCCCCAACCAAATGATAACTTTATCCCATACTAAAATATCAAACCGTTTAGAGATTTATGGCTGATCTCAATAATCAAAACAAAGTTTTTTTCGGAAAAGCTTAATAAACCAAGAATAGAGATTTTATGACATGTTGATCTAAAGAACCAAACTCAATCTCTTTAAGGTATCACACCCTTAAGAATGCAAATGACTAGCACGACTTATTACAAAAATTATCTTCATTAAAAGCAAAGCTTTACTTAGTAGCACTAAGGAAATTTGAATTGAATAGAAATGTTTTCTAAAGAAAGGGAGAGAAATAAATTCCGAAGAGATCTGAAAATGCTGGAAAGTGACATGGTTTGAAGTGAGGAAGACCCTTTGTTATATATTAGTTGGAACCTCCAAAAAAGGAAATGATCCATAGGGCGAAATGAATTTTCAATCGGTTGGCAAAATGCTCAAACCGATTGGACAACTCAAATAAAATATATTGTAAGACCTAAAAAGAAAATTTTGGATATAGATCTATTGCAAGACTTTAGTGTGATATCCTTATTGATTTTACAATCAATTATCATCTTTTTAATCCGTTGTCATATTGTCACAATCGATTGGCCGGTTGCAAAAACAAATTCCAATTAGTTGGCACATCTTTCCAATCGATTAGAAGTTTTAAAAAAATTGAACAGCTTTATTCACTTGATTTTTGGTTTAGAAAAAAATTTTAAGTGTGTGTGTGTGTGATTTTCCTTAGTACTCTTAAGATACTAGCTTACTTTTACAATACTTAATCCACTATGAAAGACTGACTAACAAGACTTGGCAAGCTTTCACACCTTTTTTCATGTAGCTTCAAGACTTTCCTTGATAGTTTATAATTGTATAGGGACTTCGTCTTGTGTCCTTTTGCTAATGAGTTGTAAGGTGTTTATCATCAGGGTTGAAAGCTATTGTCATGCATTATCGTCATCAAAACTCCATAGGCTGGTCTTTAATACCTATAAGCACATAGATTCACATTCTCCCTCTTTTTTATGATGACAACGCATCTCTCAGGGGAGGTGGTAAATGAAAAAAAATACATGTGTATATGGAGTGAAAAAAATCCCTTTGAGTTAATAGAGAATATGTCCTATTCCCCCTCCCTCCTTTGTCAAAATAAAAAAGGTGAATAAACTAAAAAAAATGCATTCATAAGCACATATTCACATATATTAATTCATGCATGATTATTTTAAAATTCTTAGTTAAGTTCCTATGAAAAAGAAGTTTTCTTTAGTAGTGGTTTGGTAAAAATGTCTGCGAGTTAATTATATGAGTCTACAAAGTCGAGTATACATTCCCCTTTTTCGACATGGTCTCTAATAAAGTAGTGCCTAACGCCAATGTGTTTAGCCCGAGAGTGAAGTATCGGGTTTACGATGAGTTTTATGACACCGGTCTTATCGCATCTAATCGGTATTTGACACCATAGTCATTAAGATTTTGTTTCATTTAAATGATTTGAGCGCAACAAGTTTCTGCATCAACATATTCTGCCTCAGTTGTGGATAGTACTACACTTACTTATTTCTTGCTATGCCATTAGACAAGTGAGTTTACAAGTAAGTGACATGTATTGCTGGTACTTTTTCTATCCAATTTGAACCCAGAAATGTTGGAGCCGGAGTATCCAACTTAGTCACAATCAGCTCCTTTACGATATCATAAATCTATTTGGTGTAT